CTTAGACACTAGATTATTATTGTCCGTTGCTCCGCATTATTTGTGGGCTGTAATATCAGGTTTCTATCGGACACATTTCCAGACAGGCAGTTGCCTTCCTTCACGATAATAACAGTAATGCAGAATGTTGCAGTATTAAAATAAAAATGTTACGCAATTGAAATCAATAATTTAAAATACAGAATGGTCTGTGGATTATATAAAATGTATTGTCATGTGAAATGTGGTTCTGATGTTTCTCCTTTATCAATGCTAAAAGAAAATTTGGGACCAGCTTTACATGGAGCATTAAACGTTTATTATTATGCGGTGACCATTTATTATCGTAATTTATCTTTAATGTTTGCTTATATAAAGTTGTTCCACTGGCCCAGTGTGTGTTGTGATCATCAGCGTTGTACCGATATCCTAGTTCTGTTTTAACTGTGGTGGTATTCTGTGATAATGGGCCAGTTCCTGGTTTCCTGACTCGTGTTCTACCTTAATCCTATAAAATTTTTGCAATAATCATTTGATAGTGCCCATAACAGCCATGTGGAGGGTCACACCCATGCACTGATATATGCAATTCTGCAAGCCCTCCCTCACTGGTAGAGCATGCAGTTTGAATGCACCAGGAAGATGTCGAGCAGTTTACCCAAAGTCTTATAAAGTATTGTCATAAACTACAGTGAATTAAGGGAGTGAATAAAAGACCAGGGAACAGCTGTGTTGCCACGTATATTTTGTTAGATTCTTGTTTTCCATTCTCTTTCTTGAAAGTAACTTCTGATTGGTGTTTAGTATCTAGGGAGTGTTCACACTGAAGCAATTGAAACTCAACCAAAACAGGTCACACCAGACTTGAAATTTCCTGGTAGTCTCACTGAACCAAATCTTCGTTGCTGAGTTCATCATTAAATTATATTCCAGATCGACTACTGAAGCAGGTGAAATGGCCACAGGTGTTGGTAGCAGTGAGTTGAAAAAGACTCTAGTTGCAAGACTTAACAGCAGGCTGCGAGAGCCTCAAATTTCACGCAGTTAAACTCTGTTCCTCTAATTTGTGTACATCATTTCAAACTAATGCGCCTTTGCAGTGTTGCATAAAAGTGCACTGCAGTATGTAATCTCACATTCAGAAACGTGAAACATCATTCCAGTCTCTTCCTTACTGTGTCAGATGTCCTTCCAAGGGCATCTTCGCTGTTTCAGAGGCCTCTCATTTGTTTAAGTTCCAATTATCTTAGAAGTTTATATGGCTTTTCATTAGTTTCATCTTCTTAAAACCTTCTGTTCTTAATATTTTTCATTCTCCGTTAATTTCAACCCCCTGTATAACTACTTACAGTTATGCCGACAAACACAGTTGCAATACGCATGGTTTCAACAGTCTCAGTATCCGTTGGTGAATGTAGTGACTCAAAACACAACGTTTGTGCCGTCATGCGCTGGTATGACAGAGAAGATTGGGCTGTTTACTTCTCAGTGCTCTGAGTTTTTACCCAGCAATGATATTTTGTGCTTTTTCAATTGGTTTGCCCCATTCAGTGCTCTGAGTTTATTTTCAACAATATCAGTAGCTCGGACTACGTTTGTTTCAAGGTTTTAATGAAGAAGAGAATGTAAGAAGTACACGGCAACTTTTTGTATATCCTGTTCAGGAAAGGCAGCCTTAAACTTATGTATCTTTAATTTCTCACTTACGTGGTAGCAGCAAAATTCATGTTTCTGTACTTTAGAGACAAGCTGATGGATGAATGATTTGGTTATCAATAATTTTGTAGAAAAGTTTTCTGTACTTCGCTTCTGCAGAATTTCCTATGTCATGTTCAATTTGCACGTGACTTTGAATTTCTCTTATTTTGTGAATAAAATCTATACCCAGACCTTCTGTCTGTAATATATGAAACAAAATACAAGAATTTGTGAACACAGAAAGAAAGGATTCTAGAAGTAAGGTCTGTTACTATCATGAATGTACATCACGACAAAATGAAAGTCAGAAGTTTCATCCAATCTTAGGTGGTTCTTGAATTTGTCTTGAAATGCCACCTAGCATCACTTCATGGAGGGCTTTTAACAAATCCTTTTGAATGGCCAGTGATGTGCCTTTGAAAACAGTGCTCATTCAGCAGAGGATCATTATGTTCTAGCGGTTTGAAAGATTCTGTCAAGGGGCAACTCAGATTATTCATGACCTCTAAATGGCAGTTCTTGATCTGGCAGCAGGGAAGTCGTGTCACCCATTTCAATATTTCTCAGTTTTTACAAACTCTAAACTTCTAAATGTAAGTTGAATCTCCAGAAGCTCGTAATTTCTTTGGAGACTTAAATAAAGAATGACCAGCGTGTACTGTAAATGTTTTACGGAAAATTCATGCTTTTCTTTTCATGAAGCATGTAAGTCATAAGTTTGTTAAAGGCCCCTGATATTAAAAACATTCAACTTTTTTTAAACATGAAGCATTGCCAGCAAATCAGTTTTTCTCAGATTTTTGTAAGCTGTAAACCATGGATAAAAATGATTTTGCAAAACAAAAGTTCCCAGTGTACGTATTGTTTTCCTTATATTCACTCTTAGGGTTGTATATAGGTTGGTAGTGTCTCCCATATTTTAAAGTTTTTAGTTTCTCCATGAATGTTCTTCTTGCCAATAGTTTTTTCTAAAAAACATTGAATTGCGTTTTTATCTAGTTTCCGCGAACTCACAAACTTCAAATGGTCTTCCACTTTGTAAGCTGTAAACCATGGATAAAAATGATTTTGCAAAACAAAAGTTCCCAGTGTACGTATTGTTTTCCTTATATTCACTCTTAGGGTTGTATATAGGTTGGTAGTGTCTCCCATATTTTAAAGTTTTTAGTTTCTCCATGAATGTTCTTCTTGCCAATAGTTTTTTCTAAAAAACATTGAATTGCGTTTTTATCTAGTTTCCGCGAACTCACAAACTTCAAATGGTCTTCCACCGTTTATAAACACATAAACTTACGTCACTGCAATTGTGCTTATGAAAATTGCAGTTTGTGAGTGATTTTGTTACAGTTCACCTCTTCTTCAGTTTGTGTTGAGGTCAACCATTTTTATATTTCTTATGCATTTCTTATATTCACAATGTTTTAATATTTTTATTTGCATTTTTCTCGTGCAAGTGTTTTCTAGCCACATCAGCATCAAGAAGATATTCACCTTTTATAGCTTAAAGTCGCCTGAATAATATTTGAACATTCATTGGCAAATCAAAGAAGACAACTCAGCCATTACAAGGGTTAATATTTTTGAAGTAAATAGTCGCTGTTTACACTTGTGTCTTTAATGTTCGCACGGAATAATTAGTCTGTAGTACCATGATGATACTGTAAGTGTAAGTGAAATATTTATTAGTGTTGTGATTTTAGATCTTGTGATTCAAAGTGGCAAGCCAGATAATCATTATTTTATTACGGTTATTAAATGGGACTAATTGTTTATATTTATACACACGCAAGCCAACTCCAGTCAGAAGTTGGCAGAACACTGAGCTAGGTTTTCATACTTGTAAAAATTGCTTGCATCATCACAACCTCAAATCCTACATAGAACGAAAGATGACTGGTAATAAGACAAATGCAGAGGAGTGCGTTGTTAAACTGTGGTCCAAATTAAGCATGTTGTACATAACCAAAAAGTGATTACAATTTTGAGCCTTCTGGGTTGTTTTGGATCTCCTATTCACTGGCCGAAGTTTCAGTCATGTCGCGTAAGTAGCAGCGATCATTTGTTATCTTGAGAATGTTGAAATAAAAAATGTTTCAGCGCACATACTCGTGTATTGCGATACCAAGTTAAAATATTCTCTCT